GTATTCTTCGCACGCGAATGTCACTGCTAAACGATTCAGCGGGAATGTCACCGTGCAGCCCAGAGATGAGGCACGGCTGCATGCACAGATTGCATTTTATGCATTTCATTGTAAACCCAACTATTTTCTAGTTAATTTTATTAACATAAGATTTTTTACACCCCAGATGTATAAATCTAGACTAAATTCTATTCTATTTCCTCGGTTGAAAACGATACACACTTTGATGTTCCCAGTTTCTTTGATTCATGATAACAACAAAGTGAAATGGAGACATGGACTGAATACGATGGTGCGAACAACAAGATGCACTTTAGATATTCCGATGACACACGGCCCACAGTAAAGAGACGGTCTCTTAATCTCTCCAGTACATGCATGTTCGACCCTATTAGCTTGATGGGGAAAAAAAAAAGAAGAAAGCTTGTGAGCTCATGACCATTGAAACCCGAAAGCAACAAACACTGGACACAAACATAGGCTATAAATGTGACTGCAGTGTGTGCAGGTGCTGTCGCTGCCATTCAGATTAATTCTCCATCTGCAGCCTCCCTGTCTTTGACTTTCATGTTGTTAAATGTATCAGGTCCATGTAGCTGCTTAAGGGGCCATTTATCGTCTCATTAATTACACTTGAAATGTTGAACAAGATATGTCTTACCTGCAGGCACTGATATGGAAGCCTCTGTGATCATCATGTGGAATAAGTCCTTAACCAGACAGGGAACCGTTCGTTTTCTCCAAATCAAACCTTGTGCGTTATTACAGTTTGAGGGATGGCGGGTGACCTGTGGGCCCTCGACGTGATTTGAGATTTCCAACTGCTCTCTTTTGTCATTTTACTAGTGATTCCGTCATTTAGGCGCAACGAAACCAGCGCCTACGAAAGTGGTCGACGGTCTACGCGGCCGCTGGCTTTTGTTGGTTGTCTTGGCAGCCTTCTCCCCCTTGGCACGGGTCGGTGGAGCGCGGCCCGACTGGCTGGTGAAGCCTGGTGCCACAACCATCCACCAAGATGGCCAAGCATCGCAGCTTTAGCGACCCGGAACAGCAGGTGCCGTTGATGAGGAAAGTCATCAGCCGGCGAAGGCGGGCGGGCCGCGGCGCCCCGTCGCACGCCACCACCCTCCGCGGCGTTCGTGCGTGCGACTCCATTCGAGCTAATTGGTTTCATGCCGCTGCATAAGCAAGCTGTTGCTTTGGCCGACGCTTGTCGAGGACATGAATATTTTAAGAGCCTCTCTTTCTCAAAGAGTGTAAACTCGTCGGACCCTCTGGGTCACGTTAAAAGAAAAAACGAGACGCGAAGTGGCTGTAGCTCGTTATGTCCGGCCGTGAAAGGGGACAGAGTGATTAACCGCTGAAAAAGACACCGCTTTTACCGACGCCGTGGAGCAGGAAATTGCTTTCCTTTTCACCTCGCGCGGGTCTCTGGTCGCTCTGGTCCGCTCCCGTTGAAACTGATGTGTCTTTTAGTGCCGGCCGTGAATTAGCCAGAGTCATATAAACTGAACCCAGTTTAGGTCCCAGCCGCAGAATCTGACCTTAACATCCCTCAACCGGAGCATGAACAAGAGGTTTCTTTGTCCAGCAAAGATCCCTGTTAAGGAGCTGAACCAGCGGACCAGTCACTGCTCCCCTGATTGAGGTGCGGATATAACGGCTAAAGGTCAGATCTGACTGCCAACCAGGACTCGCTCCTCTTCTGTTTCTACTTCGTAGTGAAGCAGTTGTCGCTGTCAAATAGTTGCTCATAAAAATGACTTTCGACATCTTAAAGGAGCACGTGGAAACCATAAAGTCCCCCCCCCTCTTCCCCCACTCTCTCTCTCTCTTACACACACACACACAAGGCAACCAAGCAGGAAGCGCTCAATGTCCTGGTGGCATCCGGCACAAATGGCCAAGGCCAACGCACCCCCATGTGGTCAGTGCGCTCGAGTGTGCACGAGAGGAGGCGTCGTCTGCTCTATTGTTGGGGAGAAGAAAAAAAATCGGGCAGAGGAGACTTTTTTTTCTCCAAGCACGGACAAAAAGGCTATTGATGATGATTAAACAATGTTGAAAAGAGACGTCAACACCGTTGAGACAGTGAAGTGATCTACAGGAGGTTTATCAGCAACTACAGCAGGCCCTAAAAATGTTATTTTGCTAAATTAACCCATCCCAGTTCCTCAACTGTGACTATTTTCTGTTTCTCTGGCTTTATGCTGTTGAAAATTGTTTGAATAAATAAGGGATAATTATTTTAAAGTAGTAATTTATGTATCCCTAATTGCATTGGACTAGAATTCCCTCATGTCATTCAGAAATCCTTATCGCCCCCCCCACCCAAAAGGCTGCCATTTTCAATGACAAAGCATTGCTTATTCTCGACCAGAAAAAATTCAGAAAATCTTTTGGAGGAGAGAAAAAAAAAATTACGACCCTCCCCCGAATCACAAAGCTGAAGATTTGCAAAGGACTAATATTATCACATGAACTCTGCGTTTGGTGAAAACGTGGTCATTCGTTTGTGGTGAATTTGTGAAATCCGTGGTTGAAAAAATGACGGAAGCCGGGTGTATTTCAGCCCACAGGCGAGCTCCACGATCTTCCCAAATGACCAGAGGTCGGCGGGCGCTGCTGGTCACGCGTAGCCGGTGATTCATTGCTACTATGATTGACTAATAAGATCACACAGCCACAGATCAAAGCAGGAGCAGAATAAACGCTGGAGACGCTCACAGATTGACCCCTCGTATTTGCCGTACCTGAATGAACTGTGTGTCAGCGGGCCGCCGCGGGGCAACCACTCTATAAACACAACCGGCACAATACAGCAAACACACAGATTAATAGAAATGTTCTGGTGTTGCTGTTAATGAACAAAGTCGTGGACACGCTGTGACTATCACTAATCAGCTTTCTGTGGATTTTTTTCCTACTTAGGCCCTTATTGGCACGCCAAGACGTCCAGTATTATGTTGCTACACAGTGTACCGTCACTAAGGTGAGCATCTTAGAGTCTTATCACAGGACTCATTAGCTGTGTGCAATCGGCCCGAGCAGCAGCTGCTGTGCGTGGATGTCGGGCGGAGCCGTGCTGTAACTTAAGCAACACAGACGACAGATGGGACGAGAGGTGTTATCAACACCCTCGCCCCTTAATGATTTCCCCGCGTGCATGAGCGCACTATTTGAAACGTGCAATTCATGGAGGAGCATTGTCGCAAGCTCATCGGCGTTCTCAAGGCGCACGCGCACACACCCTGCAAATGGCGATGTTCGTATTCAATCCTAAAACGCACGCTTCTTTCGCCTCGGCTTGTTCTGGTTTGTCCGTCAGATGCGTCGACGCTTTGCAGGCATCGCCATTAATGTGTGTTTCTGATATTGTTAATTGTTTATTGAGTTGGGAAAGATTAAATACTGACTGCAGGGGGTCCCGGTGCAGCTTCCATACCAATGCTGCTTTACGCTTTATTTGTTGTATTTCTTCTGCAAATGTATTCAACAGGTGTATGAAAATAGCTGCTGTGGTTTGTGGTGTGACTAGAGTCTGGTTTAATATTGTATACAACAGCACAAAGTCTCCCCTTTTATCGGACATCAGGCTCCATGCTGCTCCTGCGAACTGATGTGAAGTCTCACGTTGGGAAGACAACGGCTAAAAAGGCCAAACTCCGTGTCGTGTAATGACAAAAGCTCCACGCGGTGCACTGCGAGGGACACGGAAAGGCTCCTTCCAGCTGGCATCCTAATGTGGACACAGTTTTCGATCGATCCACGTTGCAACTCAAGAGACTCACTTTATTCTCCTTAACGGCTCTGATGCCGATCGGACTGGCAGAGACTTAAATAGCTTTAGTGCCTCTGATACTGAGAGAATTGCGCGGTTTTTGTCTTTTCCTGTGAATGCGATGGGAATGTCATCGCAGTTAGAGGAGAAGCAGAAAGTAAAGAGGATGCTACAGATGCTCCTCTCCTCTCCTCGGGTCCTCTCCTTGTGTCTCAAGCACCCTTGGTCTTCATCTTTCTATAAGCTCGGCCAATTTTTTAAAAACAGCATGAAAATGCACATTTGTGCCTCATCTCTTCCACCTCTACTCTCCCTGCGTATATCTCTCCCCTTGAATTTCAATCGAGGAGCTTCAAAGTGAGCGGCTCATTGGTTGAGAGGGTCATCAAACAGGCCGGTGATTCAGCGTTACAGGCCTCCGAGGGCTCTCCAGGCCCACTGCTGAATAAAGCTGGTCAGCTGGAACGCCGGCCAACCTGTGGGGGTGTCGTCTACTTAAACTTGAGGGTCATCTACGTTTTTGTTTTTTTTGTTGACTTCGCCGCCAATTGCAAAGCACGACACTCAAACATGGGTTTGAACTCTGTGAGAGAGGGAGGGTAATCTCCCCGACGCACCGGCAGCCGCACCCATTCTGCCTCGGTAGTTTGTCAACAGCGTGACGATATTCTCCACTGACGCCGTGCTGTTCGGAATGTGTCCCTGAAATTTGGAGAGCTGTGAGTTGCTGGTAATTGGGGGTGAGGCGTGAGCTTTGTCTCAACCATGAGGACATGTCCGTCTCTCTCTTTCTCTGTGGAGCACATTTGAATCCATCGCGAGCAGCGCAGATCTCTGTCTTCCAGAGTCTGCAGTGCGAGGGGATCGAGACGGGCCGTTACAGTCCGCAGACACTTCATGGCTTAGATCGTTTCTGGCGTTCCGTCCTTCTGTAGTGCAGAAATCCTTCCTTTTCCTATAATCGCCGTGCTCCACCAGCTGACGCTGTTCTTCGATAACGGTAGCTTCCAGGGAAATCATTGTTTTCAATTGATCAGTCCAATCCCAGCCGAGTTTAATTGGCACAGTATTTATTCGTCTACTTTTGGACCCTCAACTTACAGAGCGTCTCGTTAGCTCGGTTGTGGTTCACGAGAGACGTATCATCAAGTTAATTTGCATCTTGGATGTGAACACTTCCCATCTGTTCCCTCCTCCTCCTCCTCCTCCTCCTCTTCAGATGGTGGTTCTGATGGACCCCATGGAAGACCCAGACGACATCCTGCGTGCCAACCGCTCCAGGGAGAAAACCTACATGTTTGATGTGACGTTCGACTACTCGGCCAATCAGGTCAGCCATAAGAAACTAAAAAGAACTAAATCAAATCGACAATCCCAACAATATGCTCTTCATCGCCTTACGTCTATTCCTGTGCAGGAGGAGGTGTACCGAGCCACAACCAAAGGGCTGATTGAGGGCCTGATATCCGGCTACAATGCCACCGTGTTTGCCTACGGACCCACAGGTTGGTGTGTGTGTGTGTGTGTGTGTTGCACAGAACCCACACATTTAACTGAGCATTAAGGTGGTAGATCAACCTCATCAACCTCAGCCAGCACACTCTACAGAGATGATTGAGATATCTTAACTTCGATTTTCTTTTTTTTCTTTTTTTTTTTTTTGGTGCAGATTGAATCCAAAAATGAGTCATTGTCTCCAGCGGGTGTCAAAGTCTAATGAGCACTAGTGGAGCACTATTACTCTATTAAGTCCGTCTTCGAGGTTCTCAGCTCATGTGGGGAAGTCCACAGGTTTTAGTGTGTGCTTGTGTTTGCATTGGGTCCAACGTTGTGCTCAAGGACAAATTACAAGGGCACGCCCTCAACTTCCAGTCCTAATGACACAGTAAACACTTAGCTCTGAGCTTCATTTAGTATTATTATCATCTTGTAAATATTATCACCGTGTGAAGCTGTTGTTTGTTTCCTCTTTCCAGGCTGTGGGAAGACTTACACCATGTTGGGGACGGACAAGGAGCCGGGCATCTACGTCCGGACGCTCAACGACCTGTTCCGAGCCATCGAGGAGACCAGCGGCGACATGATGTACAGCGTCTCCATGTCCTACCTGGAGGTCCGAATTTCAAAACCGTTTCCTAACATTACAAGCTCCATGACGCATCCCTGATTAACTTTAGCTACAAAGTTTGAGGCCATAAGCTGGATAGCTCACACTGCTTTTCTTCACATTTGATTTGTGCTTCTTCTGCTTCTTCCTCCTCTGTCATCTGTTCACACCGATGCGATCAATGGTCCGCCATCCGTGCCAATTGCAGCCAGAGGCTTCCAGTGTCCTTTAACTTTGGCCCGGCGTCCTTATTCAGAAGCCCAGACTGGGACGAACAGACATCGCAAAACACTTTCATCATCGTGTTTTTGCCTTGTGATTCTTTCATATCTTGTTTTGATGTCTCTCTTCTGCCCCACTTTGAATTGCCTTTAACGCATGGAGGTGGAGTATGAGTTTGGAGGTGTGGGGCTGCGTTGGTAGTAGGTTGAGGTGAGGAGTGATCTCCTGTTGGCTCAGTTATTATCTCTGCCTTTTGTCGCCAGCGATGAGCTGAGGATAAGACGGCAGGCCGCTGATGGCGGCGCTCCACGTCTGCCGGCTGGCTGTGGATTCATGGATAATGGCTCCGGGTACAATGGAGTCGGTTCATTTGACTCCGGCGGCAGTAACTGAGCCTCACTGGTGTGACTTTGTCCTCCGCTTTTCTTGACTTTTGTCCATCCAAGGGGGCATAGTCGTATGAAGTTTTATTTGTTTATGGTATTCATAGTGGTTCTTTCTTAACTGGTAAAGCAGCAACTTATTTTTTGTAATACAATGAATATTTTATTGTGCGAACCCTGGAAATTGTCTCTTTCAGTATCTTGTGACTTCAAGTGAATCTATTTTCTGTCTTAGATTTGCCACCAAAAGCCGTGGCGTCTTAAGTCTGAAAGGAATTTGACATTTATTTCATAAATAAAGAGAAAAGCGTTCGAAGAGAAAGCAAATAAAGGAGCAAAGACAGACAGGAAGGCAAATGATGAATACAGATTTAAATAAAAATGAAAGTGTCACAGTTGAGCACTTCTTGTACAAATATCGTCCATCAGGAGGAAGGTTTTCATCCGACATTGAAATGACTTTTTGTGTTTTCGGTCCCAAAAGCTGTTATTACATTCCATGATTGACAGTGTCTTTCGAGCCGAAGCTCTTTAGTAGCTCTCCGTGTGGGTGAAGATAAATACTCCCATCAAAATGCCTATCACCGCGTCGGGGAAGTTCTCCGACCTGTACGACTCCTCAGGATGAATCCTGACACAAAGCCCTGTGTGACGTGTGTGTGTTTGCCGTTTCCAGGGAGCAATCTGTTGCCACTGCTGCCTCGCCACAAAGACGTTAAACGCCATTTTACAGCCTGACTGAGCGATGGGGGCACATCTGCTCCGTTTCGTCCTCAAATTCCCTGCACACACGTACATACAGACACACACACAGTGAATGAAATTGAATTGACAAAATTTTAAAAAAGGCACATTCATTGATTCTTTACCGCTCACGCACACACACACAGAGGAATCGTACCCTTTTCTTTTATTTTCCTCCTGTCGTGAGAACTCTTCTCACATTTGGGAACCTGCAGGAAGAGAGAAGAAAGACAAGCTTTCTTCTCTCTTCCTGCAGGTTTCAGATGCACTTAACGATGGCGTCTCGGACGGCAAAGGAGTGCCAGGGGATGACATATTATTTTGTAGGACCAACCCAGAAATTAGCATCTCACTGATTATTGCAGAAAATACACAATTGTTTCATGATACTGACTCATTTTGTTCAGTGGAATAATCACAAACCTTTCTGGTTTGTAGCATCGTTGAAAGAATGTTAGCCTGAAAAATAACTACACCATAGTTGCATGACAGGACTCGTGTTCGGCTTCAAAATTCACAAGCACTAAACTGGCCACTCACATTATACGTGCTCAATATATTAATATTGTCTTCTTGAGCACGTTGGTTTGCTGACATTTGCATTTAGCTCACAGCACCATCGTTCATAAGCACAGACTCTTTATAATGCCTCCAATATCCGGCTGTCAAGTGTCAGTAAAAAAAACACCTCAATGTGTCTCAATTTGTTTTCAATTTCCACGTTGTCACTTCCTGCTCTGTTTATGGGCCTTCATTGCACAGTGTGACGTCATTGAAGTCAAATGAAATTACTTTTGACACCGGCTAATGGCGGCCCGCCGCCCTGCAAGCTGTGCTTTCTAAATGAAAAGTCGCTCAAAATACAGCACTTGATGTTTTTGCACCAGGCTTGGTTCCGTGTAGGAGGCCCGACTGGCTGAATGGAACCTTCTCACACAAACAACCTCCCGTCCATTCACTTCTCAAAAGAGGGATAAAGATTCTGAGCGGATTTATAAGCTGCTGCATTCATGTAATCTTGTGTCCTATTAGATCTACAATGAGGTGATCCGCGACCTGCTGAACCCATCCTCGGGCTTCTTGGACCTGAGGGAAGATTCTAAAGGCGTGATTCAGGTGGCTGGAATCACAGAGGTGTCGACCATCAATGCACAAGAGGTGAGACAAGCGACCTGACTGTGAATGGTGTGAGTACTCCATTTTATTCTCGTAAAGAAATATTGACATCACATCACTGGGGACTCACGCCGCCGTGTTTTCAGATCATGGAGCTGCTGATGAAGGGCAACAAGCAGCGCACCCAGGAGCCGACAGCCGCCAACCAGACGTCCTCTCGCTCCCACGCTGTCCTGCAGGTAGCCGTGAAGCAGCAGAGCCGGAGTCGAGACCTCCTGCAGGAGGTGCGCTTCGCCCGCCTCTTCATGATCGACCTCGCCGGCTCCGAGCGAGCGGCACAGGTGAGTGGATGCCCCCCCCTCCCCCCACACCGTCTAAAGTGGCTGGAATCAAACCGGCAGTTTACGCAAACCAAACTAGGTTCACAACTAGTTTGGTTTGCGTATCTTAAAACAGTGCAGGAGACTGATAAAAGCCTCTTGTTAACAGCCCACTAGACAGGAAACTAAAGGAACACACGCAATGCATTTACATGAGCGCTGTAAGGCCACTTCATGCTACAACTATAGATGCCACTCACTTTGCTATTAAAATAAAATTATTTATAATGATTTATTTACCGTTAATAATAACATCCAAGTTTACAGAGTGTTTAAGATGAGGACTTTCATGATTGCAAAGCACAGCAGGTGTCTGTCGTCGTCAATATCGTCTCCGGTGTCTGTACTTCTTTGAAGAAAAGCTCGGCCGTGTCGTCAGAAAGGGAGAGAAGACGAGGCCCCCCCACCATCCCCCCTGTGGTTGAGTTATTGCTTTGACCTTCTCTTTTAAAGCCGTCAAGTGAGGATGTTTAACACCGTTTATGTTGTCTTCAGTTTTCCAAGTTGGGCTCACTATTGTCAAAGCGATGGCTCGTTGTGTTAACACTGCCACCTGCCTGCACACCAGGAGAACAGCATGCAGGCAGTGAGGATGAAGAGCACACCGCGTCTCCGAGCATAACAGAAGCTGTTTGTCGCTCGGAGCCACAGGACACGTCTCTGTTTTAAAGAAGAAAAACAACATGCAAAAATCTCACCTATTTATATAGAGACGGTTGATTACAAAGCGCTCGGGACATTCAAGTCGCCGACCAGATGATCATAAAGTCCAGCTGGCAACCCCCCCCCCCTCCATATCCATCTCTATCTCCCCTCATTTACTAACAGCAGTCTCTGTTTACGCTGCAATAAAAGGCATGAAATAACCAAGATGCACTTAAAAGGGCTCAGAGGTTCCCTCACTCACATCTGGCTCTCTATTTGTTAGACCCAGAATAGGGGTCAGCGGCTGAAAGAGGGGGCTCACATCAACCGCTCTCTGCTGGCTTTGGGCAACTGCATCAACGCCCTGAGTGACAAAAATGGAAAGTACGTCAACTACCGAGACAGCAAGTTGACTCGGCTCCTAAAGGTACAGCAATTTTAAAGGTTCATAGGTGACCAACGTCTTATCTGTCATTTGATTGTGTGTTGTGATGCAGACGTGTTATGTTTGACTTTGATTGACAGGACTCGTTGGGCGGGAACAGCCGAACGGTCATGATCGCCCATATTAGCCCCGCCTCTGTGGGCTTTGAGGAGTCTCGCAACACGCTGGCGTACGCCGACCGTGCCAAAAGCATACGAACACGGGTGAGAGCTCTGAATTTCATCTTTGCAACAGATCATTTATTTTATTTTATTCCATTCCACAGATATTACACTTTACTGTTAATTATCTTCACGAAGCAATGTAATTTACTTTGCCTTTGAAACAAGGTTTTAAATCTACTTAAGTAGGATCCTCTTTGTCCTTCTCATTGCTGTGTACTTCAGGTAAAGAAGAACCTGATAAATGTGTCATACCACATTGCTCAGTACACAAACATCATCTCAGACCTGCGCAGCGAGATCCAGCGGCTCAAGACGAAGATCGCAGATCAGACGAGCCGCCAGCTTAACGCGGACCGGGCTGACATCCGCCATGTCCAGGGTGAAGCCTCGTCCACGCAGCCATATATTCTTGTCATTCTTCTTATTGTACGCTGCCCTTTTAAAAAGGACCGGTTCCTTACTCCCCCTCTCCTCGTCTCTCGTAGCGGAGGTCCAGGCCCACTCCAGCCACCAGAGCCGGGCGGAGATGGACCAGCTGAGGGAGCAGCTCCTCGATGCCTTCCGCCAACAGATGGAGATCAGGAGGAACCTGATGGAGTTGGAAAACGGCAACATGGAGGTCCAGATCGACACATCTAAACACCTGTTAACCATTGCAGAGTGAGTGTTCATATATTTCTTTCTCATTCTATCTGATAGCATATCTACAGAAATAGGTGACATTCAGTTCACACTCAGGGCAGTTTGAAATGTACTTAGCATGTGTACGTCAAACGCTATGTACGGTATTGATCTGTCTTCTCCCAGCTGGGAGCAGGAGCGCAGCAGGCGCAGGAGGAAGTGGCGAGCCGAAAGGAGGAAGGAAAGTGTCAATAAAGACGAGAGCGAGAAGGACTCCGACTCCCCGGAGTCTCCTCCGGACAGCACGGAGACCCAGCAGGTGGCCATGGCCCGAGAAAACCTGGTGACACTCATGGCGGAACAGAAAAAGATCCACAAACAGAAGGTGGGATTCTTGATCTACTATTTAAATCTGAGGGGGGAATTGTTTTAAGCGCTTTCCCCTTTCCGGAGAACAATTAAACCGACCAAATGCTTACAGTGCCGTATGAACAGTGGAGCTGAGAAAAGGGCATTTACCGATTGGATACGAATCTCCGACCGTTCTTCTCCGACCGTTCTTCTCCTCCCGAAGGCGTTGCTGGAGCGCAGGTTCCTGGAGCTGCGGGATCGGGCCCGGCGCCTGGAGGAGCTGCTGCCTCGGCGGGTGAGCTCGGAGGAGCAGCGCGAGGTCCTGTGCCTCCTCTGCAAGGTCCACGAGCTGGAGATCGAGAACACGGAGATGCAGTCCAACGCGCTGCTCAAGGACAACGTCATCCGGCACAAAAACTTTGTGGTGCAGCGCTTCGAGCAGCACAGGCACCTGTGCGACGAGATCATACAGCAGCAGAGACAGTTCATCGTTGGTGAGTCGAGCAGGATTCTTTTATCATCACTCCAGCTACAAAGTACACCGTTCCAGATACATTGTTTGGTTTATTTACATTTACATTTACAAACCCTGTTATATATGACTCCTTATTATTGAAGAAGACACATGTATTGTTGCTAATATATATATATATATATATATATATCATTAAAGAGGCATTTTTCATTATTATTAAGAAGTCCCTTTCTTCATTGGGGAACCAGTTGTAATATTTGTTTTTCCTTAGATAGATATTAATTATAGTAAATATTTCTATAGTATGGTGTTGAGCATTTTCTTCTTAGGTTCCAGTAAATCAAATACCTTAACTGCCAAACAAGAACTTTTTATTTAAAAAAAACATTAATTTGTTTTTTTTTTGTTATTTTGTTCTAAGAAACTTTTTGTTGTTGTGTAATTGTACTGAATTGTACTCGCGCTTGTGTTCCAGACCACAGCCTTCTGGTACCTCCACACCTCCAGGAGCTGTACGAGATGTACATGAGGGAACTGGATGAGAGGAAACTGGACCGAGCTATGGCCCTGGATAAGGTGACCACAAGACACACCATCAAGGTAGCCACAAATGAAAGTACAAAATACGATGTGAAAACTACATCAATGCCTCAATGATTAGCGCTTCTAATAATCATTTTCAGGAGGGATCTCTGCCCAAGATCACCCTGCCCGGTCAGGGTCGTGACAACATGCAGGACATGGACTCGGACCAGGAGAGTGTGCGCAACATGTGCTCTGATAACCGACGAGGCCAAGCCAAAATCCGGAGGCACACTTTGCCCCCCATTCTGCCCGAGCCAGAGCTGTAAGAGCATATGTTCCCATTTATACACAACAGCTCCTTTTGATTTGACCACAAAAACCTTCACATTCCCTTGACAATATTAATACTTCAGTATTTATTCCTCTCTTTTACATGTCATTTCTTTTCATGCGGCAGCGACAATAACAGAGTTTTCAAGAGCAGCCCTCACGCCAGGCAGATAAAACACACTGCTGTGGCGCCGCCGCCTCCCATCCACATCAACGGCAAGGGTAGCAGAGAGGTGAGGAACATCTTCTCACCTTTGACAGAAAGCAAAGCACTGCAGGACATGTCTGATCCGCCTGTCCCGTCCGCAGCTCCAGCCGCTGCTCCCTGAGAGCTCTCTGAGCTACAACCATCTGAGCCACAGCGTCAGCAGCCACCTGGACTCGTCCACGGAGAGCAGCGAGGCCGGGGCGGACATCCCCCTTTTACAGAGTGGTAAGATGGCGGGTTAGAGAAGGAACAATTAGATGGTCGATCACCAAAATGTTTGGGACTTGTGAATGTCGGCTGTGGCCCCTCGGGCATCCTGAGTAACTCTCTCTTCTGTGACGTCCGGGGAAGTTTTGGTGAAACGACAAACGTGTCCTCTTTTCTCCGCAGAGCGGCAGCAGATCCTGAAGGGGGTCCAGAGCATCGTGGTGAAAGCGGCACGTCGGCGCTCCAAGGCGCTGGAGGCCGACGCCCTGCGGTTGCCGCCTCCCCCCTCGCCCCTGGACCCCAAGAAGCAGAAGAGCAGCGCCTCACTGAGCGAAGCCCCCCGGAGAGGCCTGCCGATCCGGCGCGGCAGGCAGCCCAGCCCCGACCTCAGGCACGCCACCTCGGACGACAACCTGTCCAGCAGCACGGGGGAGGGGCCGGGCCTGATGGTGACCTGGACGCAGCCGCGCAACCGCCAGCCCGCCGCCAAGAACCAAACGCCGCGCGACGTGGACTTTGAGGCTCGCCGCAAGAAGAGGCGGTCTCGCTCCTTCGAGGTCACCGGTCAAGCGGTGAGTGCTTTCCATCTTTAGCCGCAGATCCTCGACGGATCCATGACATGGTCGGTACAAGAGAGGTGACGCGGTCTTCTTCCTCCTCCCGCTCGCAGCTGCCTCAGACCAAGACGACCGCAGCTCAGAGGTTGCGTCCTCTGGACAGCACATCGGACCACCACCTCCACAACAGCGTTCAGCCACAGGCTCCGATGCTCCGCCCCCATTACAGAGGGGTCCCTCCTCTCGCCAAAATCAGGGCGGCCCACAGCATCCAGCAAACGGGTGAGCCGCCGTCGCTGCAGACCGAGACACGTTGCCCCGCAACAACCTTGTGACTGAGCTTTTTTTTTTTTTATCTCACGTCCCCCCCCCCCCGTCTTCTCACAGGCTCAAACGCAGAGTCCTCCGCAGTGCACACCAACAACCTGAAGCGGGGGTCCCAGCTGCGTCAGCCCCAGCCCCTCCTTCACATCGGCACTGCAGGCACCGGGGGCCAGCGCGCACGAAGACACTGAGCTCCCACGTGTAATGGGTTGTGAGGGGTGGGGGGGAATGCCGGTTGACCTCACAGTGACTGAAGCAGGATCATGAGGCAATACGGCAGAGACGACCCGGACGACCCCGGGCCCCTCCCTAAAAGGGTCCACCCCGTGGTCGGCAGCAGACCCTCTGCAACTGCGGACGCCAAAGATAGCGAAACGTGTCGTGTCCCGTCGAGTGTTTCCACTCCGGCTTGCTGTCGTGCTGCATCGTGTGTCATTGTGTGTCATCGTGTGTCATCCTGTCAGTCGGGCTGGTGTCCAGCTCTCTGTGCTACACTGTACTAATGTTTGTGCGCTTGAGCTTGAGTGTGTACGGTTTGGTAATGAAGCATTAAGCTAATGGGGGACGTCGAAGGGGGCTCAATGTCACCTTAATGATGTGAACGAGGATGGGAAAATGACTGGCTTTAACAGACAAAGCATTAAAAGAAAAAAGGAGACAGGATATTCTGCTAATGGCGATATAAAAATTGTATAAGGCCTACTGTCAAATCATTTTTTCTTTTAGTGAGATTGTTCCAATTTAATGACACACTAATATTTGAGTAGAAAAAAAACAACCTCATACCATCTTGATTGTTGTGCACTTGTTGTGTATCCTCACTCGTCCGCGTCTTTGCCTTTTCTTACCCAAACGCGACTGTTTTAACGTCATGTCTGTTTGTGTGGATGTATAGTACCACAAGTTGCTTTTTCAGATTAGTTGGCTGTAATTTTAATTTATTGTGTGTTGCCTTTTCTTTTACGATCAACATTGTTTTCATAATTGCTACTTTCTATGATTCATTTTGTACATATTTTTTTCATTTGTACCAAAATTAATTAAAGTGAGATCACTAAAAAAGGTGCTTTCTTTTTTCTTTGTACAAAACGCTCAATTTACTGACTGCAATAAAAGTCAGCCAAATTTCTAACCTGCCTGTGAATTGTGTGTTTGCTGCATTCGTGCGAATTGGAGACTGGCGTCTAGGGTCTATAACCAGGATGTTACTGAAATTGTTCATGTGGATAAAATATATAGGACGGACCCCGAGTCAAATGTTTGAAAAACTATTTGGGATTCATGCTGTAGGACTTCACTCACTGTGAACTCACACACAGTGACTCACTCACTGGAAAACACATATTTAAGCTTGATTCAACATTAATAATTTAATTTGGTATCGTATCATAAGCAATATGTTAATTGTTTTTCCCCCTTTAGAAGGCAGTATAATATTAGCTATCAGGATAAATATGATATGAGGATTGATGTGAAATGTTCAGGGTATTATTCTGCCTCCTGGGTCTGTATTCCATCACATTATGTCAGAGATGAGAAACTGCTCTGTGACCATTAAACCTTCTAGGAATCTCATCTCTCCATCTCTAGTAGGCATATCATAAAACTCACTGCCTACTTGATGCCTACTTGATTATTCCAAGCGTAATGATTAATAATTAAACAGGCTCAGCTATCAGGGGAAAACTTGCTTGCACTTATAAACTAACATTTAGTTTAAAAAAAGTAAAAGTTTGTCGCTGAAACTCAAAAAAGAGATGAAACAAATATTCATTCAACCCCTTTTTTATCCGAGTGAGACTGAATCGGAAATCACGCCTCCTCTTTTTAGCTGTAATCGTTCTTATCCAATGATGAGTCAACTTCCACGTGATTGATGTGTTGATGAACCAATGGGCGTTGAGACTCCGGCTCCCGGGCGGTAGTGCACGAAGAGCTGATTTGCAACCCGCCGAAGCAACAGCCGAGAAGGAGGAAAAATGTCGCTGGCTTCGACACGGACCGTTCTAGGATCAGTGTCCTTATAAGACGATTCGGGTGAGTGGGACAGCCTTCACTAGTCGCATCAGAGGGTTAGCGGGGAAATCGGATCCGTCCCGTCCAGAACTACAACGCCGTGATTCGGTTTTAGTCTTTTAATGCAACACCTCGGGCCTGCTCTTCAAACAAAACCAACACAAAAACTAGCACGGCCGCCATGATGAATGTGAGGCACTGTGGACAGAATGGTCATCGTTAAAGTCAGCGGCTCATTATGAAGCGACCCAGTATAAAATGTCTCTATTTACAAAAAGTTGGTAATAATTCAAACTAAGGCTACATGCCAACTGCTGAGTTTTAACTTTACAAGGTGCTAATACTAACCGTTAATATAAAAAGTTAAACAAATCAGTGCTGAGCTTTCTTGTTTTGAAATGAAAGTGTTGTAAGAAACGTAGAAAAGTGGACGGATGTCAGATCTGCAGAATCCCCCTTTTGTTGTTCAGAAAATGTGAAACAAAACGTCAATATACCAAATAAAAAACAACTCAACTTTTGATTCTCCTCTTTTCTTTCTCTAGATTGAAACTTGCTACTCCTCCACAACAAGTTGAGCGTGAGAGTCAGTTTACTCATTTGACCGTAACACTACATTGGGCCTCATTACATCCAGCAGCCTCCATGGACATGGACCCACCAGGGTCCACCAGGGTGGTGGGTCTGGATGCCCAGGGCAACATGGTCTTCACTGTGGTGAAACCAGTGATGGGCATCTACCAGGTGTCTTCGGAGCAAACGGGCAGCGTCGCACACGGGGGTATGGGGCTCCAGGGTTTGTCCGAAAACACGTTGATCCTCCCTGAAGTGCAAGGCCAGGCGCCGCTGGACCAGAACCAGACGGAAATGCACGGCCTCCAGCCTAATATTCAGATGCCCCACATGCAGATTCCTGTCCCAGTGCAGACCGAGCTCGTGTCCCAGATTCTGGACCCGCAGCCCGACGCCGGCACAAACCCCGAGTCGGCCTCCCATATGCCTTTTGCAGAGGTGTCGTCACTCCTGGACCCCAACATGAAAGGATCCAAGGCGCGTAAGTTGCCGGCGGTCATTTTAGCAAAGTAGAAAAAGAACAATCGGAAAGTTATTTCAAACATTTTGCTTATTCCAGGGAAATACCTCATCTCGTACGAGGAGATCAAGCGGCGCCTGCAGGCCCCGGAGAAGATGTCCCTGCGCTCCCTGGCAGCCTACACTCGGGTCAGCCGAGGTCCGGCCAGCAAAAAGACGCTGCTGGAGTCGCTCAACGTCCTCGGCCTCACGCCGAGCACAACTACCTCCGTGTCCTCCTCGTTCTCCAAACTCACCGAAGGTGACGGGAAACGTGTTGGCAGTGTGGAGGCGTGTTTGCACCTGTCAGTGTGTAGAAGTGTTACAAGAAGAGGTGAGTGAGTCCTGATTTGTTGTGCACGTGTTTAGGCGACACCGGGGCTTTGTGTGACGACATGAAGGACTTCGCCCACGACTACATCGACTGCAGCCACATGGCTAAGCAGCTCATCCCCGAGACCAACACGGTTCAACACTGGTCCAAAATCATTGAAACCAAGTAGGTGCTGTGCGCCCTTGTAGTAACGTGGCCTCCAAGCAGAATGCTGGATGATGGACCTTCTCTCGTTTTCTCTCAGGAACCACCTGGAGGATATGAGGAGATGCTTCAAGGACCCGGTGAACAGCGGCGCGTTTGACAACGTCACTCACGGCCTGGGTCTGGGAGCGCTGGACGTCGCGCTGGACGTGATCGTGATGGTCATCGAGCAGCAGATTCGGATCCTCTCCGGGGCGGCGGCGTCGGACCCGGCCGACTCCGGTCCGCCGATGCGCCGCGTCCGCCGGCGGCACCGCAAAGCCCGCTCGACCGACAACGAGAGCCCCCGCAAGGTGTCTGCGGGGGTCAAAGAGCCGGGGAGGGCCATTTCCAAAGGCAAAGGGCGAGGCCGGTCCAGGAATAAGATAAGACAGGAAACCGGCGCAGCGGTTCCCATGGAAACCCAAGCAGAACAATGCAAGCCCGATGAGGTGGAGAATAACGTCCTAACCCTGGTGTCTGTCGGATATGAGACCGTTTCTTGTGAACTGAATGCAGCCGGAACAGTTTGACACCTGGTCACGTGACCGGCCCCAAAACAAACGAACAAACAAACAATCGTCCTCCGGTTCAAAGGGATGGGAAACGGACCGCACAAGTTGAGCTGCTGCGAGGGACGTCTCAGCACCAACGTGTAATCCCAAAGTACTTGAAGTCCAACTGAAAATAGTTTGACATTTTAGGTAGCACAATTTCTCAAGTAAATAGGTAGGGTAAATATGTAGCTGGAGCCAGCACACTATTAGCTTAGCATAAAGACTGGCGCCTGGGGAACAGGGGAAGGGTCAACAGCTAGCCTAGCTCCGTCCAATGGTAACAAGAACAACTCTAAAGCTTCCAAATGAACACCTTTAGTCTCATTTGTTTAATCTGCACAGAAAAAAGTCACAGTAGAGGCTTTGTGTTAAACAATGAACTCTTGTGTTTTACACCATTACGATTAAGGAGATCTTTCCCTGCTCGTAACTCTACTATTCCACAGCTGAACTCCAGCCAAAGATTGTTGTGACAGAGCAGCTAATATCGTCGGCGAGAACATGAAGTGTTTGAATGCTTCACACCTCGTGTTTGAAGGCGAGGAGAGAGAGAGGGGAAGCTAATAAGCACCCCCCCCCATGCCGAACTACTCCTTTAAAGGGAATCCTCTCTTTGTTCTGTAGCATCGTATGTGTGTTCGTGTAGTGTAACTGGATCCAGTTGTAACTGTTTTCTCATGCCATGTTTTTGATGAAAAAACTGAAATCACCACCTGAAATATGTTGTAAACATGTTGTTCATGCACAAGGTAGAACCGATGACATCAGAGGTCTTGGATCACACGTCTTACCGTTTGGTAACAATGTCCTTTATTTCCCAGTTGTATTTATTCATTAGAGATGCAATTAAACATCTGTTGGTCTGAACTGAAGCATAAAGATTTCATTTTGAATAACTACCTTGAGTGGGTTATTGTCTTGTGATACATTTATTCGTATTTATTAGAAGCAGATAATTTTTCCTCCCACTTCATTCTTTGTTTCAGTGATTCATCGTTGTAGCATTTGTTTTGATTGCAGACAGGTTACGGGCATTTATATATTCTTTTAATCCCAGAAGTCAGGATTTGATCAACCTCTTGATGACCTTAGAATTTCATTCCTACTCTTGTTTTGGGAAACGATTCCATCAAATAATACTGTTATGTACAAAGACGTCTAATGTTGTTGTCATGCCCGTGGATTTACCAGAAGCTGAAAGGCATTGTGGGAGATTTTAGAGATCCAAGTGCATTTTAACACCTTCCCACACACACCAATAGAGAGAGAGAGAGAGAGAGCGGCTTTAGAGGGGATTTGCTCGTAAGAGCCAGTTATAGTAAAACGAAGAGAGACACAAGACAACTTGTTGTGATGCTCCACCGCAGTGCAGGGTGGGAAGGGAGTGCGCGTGGGTCTGGGGGAAGGTTAAAGCGAGGGGCCGTGCAGACGCTGACTAGGCCTCCCGGAAGCAACAGCTGATGACTCCACGGGGACACGGACAACGAGGCGGTGGCGTTCGGCTCTGCACCAAGACGTGGATCCGAGAGGGTTTCACCCCGCCGGAGGGTCGCCCCGGAGCAGCATGGGACACACCTACGTGCCGCTCGTGTCCACCGACACGCGCTCCCACGGGGACAAACGCAGGTCGAGCCGCGCGCAGACCTCCACGCCGAACTGTGAGTGGGACGGTATCGTGACGACAGATTAACTGGGCGGGATCTTTTATTCATTCACTCCGCTGCACTTCACCGTTTATCACAGAGCGGATTAACCAGTAACGAGTTTTTGGATGCGAGGAAAATAGTATAAATTCACACGCGTTTTCCCAGCTAATGAAAAACAAAGCCTCTGAACATCCACACAGGTGTTTTGAATCAATCAGACCTGCGCTCATGTTGAAGGAAGGCGGAGCCGCGACGATCTTTGTCAACCAATCAGAAGAAATTACGGTTTTTATCTGGTAAATTGTCTCTTTGGCTTTAGGAGGGATTGCCAGGTGCAGCTATTCATACACCCTTCTCTTTAACGTCATTTGTATCTATTATATTTCATTTTCCCAGATCAAATACTCGTGTCATTCTCACCCTAACCAAGTGAGAAGGAAATGGCACCATGCTTCCACGCTGGACCTGGACAGTGATAAATATATACAATAAAGCAGGATGACGCGTAGAAATGAAGGGGCTTCGTTGCTCCACTTGGCGAGTTATTTGCAGGGGTCCACACTCCTGATGAGCCTCACTGCTTTCTTCTCTATTCTGTAACTAACTGTAATGCCTGGTTGAGGTTTTCTCTGCTCCCATACAGCATGCATATGCAGAAACATTTTGTGACTTCTAACATGACTCCGTCCCCCCCATCCACCCCTCATCCACCCAACAGACAACCTGAACAATGCATTGGGCACCATCAGAGTGCTCGGTTTGGAACTGATCACAGACGAACTTAAACCACATCTGGACACGGTGCTGGTCAACATTAAGGAGAGGAGTGAGTTCATTTACAACGTCTTGTTTATGTCTTATTTATTTGATCAGGCTACGCTATTCCTTGAGCCTCAACACTATCTGACACAATTGAATAGTTTAAAAGCAAGCTTTCAGTTCTTCTTTTTTTGCCTACCACTTAATTTACATGTTTAGGTCTTTCCAAGACGTGTATACCTTGAGACGTAAAAGCCTCCCACTCTTGAGTGGCAGCTGCATCAGAACGATAAAACCTGTAGCAAAAAGAAACGTCCCCGGTAAGAGACGGGGAGCTGTGCGTTCAGATAGCGTGAGAGGATCATGTGTGTGACAGTTAAGTCCTCGGTAGACGTTAAGCTGTATTTGTGTCCCTTAGCAAGGGGGCAACCGGGGGATAGCGAGGCAGAGGAGGTGAAGTCATTGAAATTACGGCTTGATCAGATTAATTCGGCGCTACATTAATTTAATAATAATATATAAAGACCATCTTTTGTTTTGAACGTTTATTGTGTATCTGCATCCACGATCTGCATATCTGCGTATCTGCATTTGTGCTTCTGCTGGTGTCCAGAAAAGGGTGCTGCCGAGCAGGTGGTGATCAGTGGGATCCTGCCGGTCCTGGCCCTGTCCCTGAGGAGCCGGGGGCCTCTCACCGGGCTCACCGCAAGGCTGGTGGCTGAACTCGCCAAGGAATGTAGGTTGTTAACCCAGATATCCGTTGGTCTGTGATGTATTACAACGCCGTACCGTATTCGAGCCCCTGATCCCCTGAGGTGCATTTCCTGTTGTCTGCCCCTTGAATCCTTTTATTACTTTTATTCTACCTGCGGGGGATTGAGACCTTTCTTGTGTTCGCTGTCAGCTGTAGTTCGTAAAGGTTTCGGAGACGCCGGTTTGGTTCCGGCTCTGCTGTCCGTGTTGACCAGTCCGGACCAGGAGGTGATCCTACACGCTGCAAGGGCCATCTCACGCATGTCTTATGACAGCTGTAAGTAACACAAACTGATCTGTGTGTGTGTGTGTGCGTGCATGGGAGACCCGTCCTTAGTACAGCGGTAGCTTCCGTCTTGCTGCCCTTTGCGACAAGAGGTCCTCTAAAATCTACGCGTTTCCCCCGTCGCCCTCAGCCAAGCTGCAGGGACTGCTGCTGCGTCGAGGTGCAGTGCCTCGCCTCGTCAACGCCCTGCTCCGCTTCCCCGACCAGGAGGCCCTGCAGGAGGCGTGCCTCCAGGCCCTCTGCAACCTCAGCGGCATGGGGGTGGCCGAGGAGGCCGGGCTGGTCTGGGAGAGGGGCGCGTCCGTGAGGCCGGGGGAGTCGGTGTTCCACGGCGCGGCGCCTCACACCTGCGGGCTCGCCTCCTCCGTGACCTTGGTGCGCGTGTCTCAGTGGGCGCCGGGTCAGTACGCGGTCAACGTCGAGGTCTTCCAGCGCTGCTCCTCCTCGTTCTGGGGCCTCGGCGGGGACCAGCGGCCGGCTCGCTGGTCCCCGTTCCCCGGCTTGGGAAGCTGGTCGAATCTGTACAAGGTGATCAGGTTCTCGAAGAGGAACATGTTCCACACTTTCCTCTGAAAGCTAACTGGTGCATAAAACTCTCTGAGGGACCACTGCAACCGCTCCAAGTCCTCCGCCAATCACTGATCCACATCAGGGGAACGTTTTACACACCAGGAACCTGGACAATTAAGGCTAAAACACACGAGGTTCCCATCTGTGATGGGATGCTACTCACTTTTTGTGCAATAGTTGAATGAGAGATGAGGAAAATGCTAAATGTCAGAGAAAATAATGTTTAAAGATGAATATTGTGTCTGTTGATTTATTCACAAATGCAAAAAATAATTTTGAATTTTCTGAGGCCGCAGAATTGAGAATTGAACGTTCTTTTCTACAGAGCAATTGAATTATTTTTTATTGTGGCGTATTGATCGTAGACTCTCATTGTAAGCAATAAACTATTGGTTTATTGCTTACAGTGTATATAATTTGCTATTGTGTACTTATCTTTTATGTGATAACATTGTGAATGTGCTGTTAATGGATGCATAGGGATTATTAAATTACGGCTTAAATTGATTATTATTATTTTACATACTGACAACCGACGCATCAACTCACAACTTCATTATTTATAACTTCATATTAATCTACAATTTGAGATCCCATGTAACCAAATAGAGCATAACTCTAGCCCTAGTCATGTGAACACAAAAGCATTGATATCTTTGTGCAGGTTTATATACTAGAATGAAACACTAGATGGCGTCACTGTGCTTCGTGGACCTTAGTATTACAGAATTAGACCACCAGTTTGTGACTTTGAAACAATCTTAATAATGACTCCACATATCAGTGAATATTGTCAGATATTTACATAGATTTAATTTGTTCACCTTCCGTTGCCTCTGAAAGCAGTTTGTGTAAATATCTATCTAGTGTGTAAGTTGAATAGTGCGCTCGCCCCATGACCTTTTAAATAAAAGATGCCAAGACAAAGGCATTCTGCGTCTTCTCTTCCTCTAATTACACTTCTTATTGGTTCCTTCCTCCTCCGGGCGTCCAAACACCGGCTCTTGTCCTCTAATCAACTTTATTACGCCGAAAAACAGTTAAATATTTGATGTGATAGAGACAAAGCTTTAGAATTAGACAAGAGGCGCACACACTTGTTCTTTACGAACTTAATCTGGTGGCAAATTGGTCCAAGCGTCATTGACAGAGTAATAGGCATCAACATTTTCATTGTAGGATTAGTGCATTTAAGCAAATCTTTTGATCTATACATTCTAAGTAAAATGTGTTTTCTCCAGGCTGAGTTTTGACCAGAAAGGTGAAACGTTCAACGTGTCCAGCGGATTTTTTTTCACACAACTCGTTAATTTATCTGTGTCTTTGACAAAACAATCCATTCATATATACTGTATGAAATACATACGTGTGCGTGAATTGTTTTGTTGGCTTTGTATTTGCATGAACAGTGTTTAATCAACAAGTCCGCTTCCACTCTGTAGTAGGAGGCCCAGGAACACTACATATATTCATTTTAATATAAGACTTATTAAAAATGCATGATAAACTTTGCATCGGATGCCCCCAAATCAAGATAACATAGCTGAAGAATGCTTTATTGCTTGTCTCTGCAAATGAGTAATTTAAACTTTAATCATTTTGTTAATTTCTGCAGAAACGACTGTGTGTAATTGCATTCGGGTTTCATGACACAGATTTGTTTCTCTCTTGTGCCCTTAAGTTATTCTTAGCCCGTTGCATCCATCAACAATAGACAACAATGATCTCACAGTGTTCACAGCGCACGCTCGCACTCTACTGATATGGAAACACAAAACAGAGTGTTGTGTCAAAGACCACACATTTGTTTAACACTGGTAAATAAATGAAAGAACATTTAGGAAATCTTCTTTCTTTCCATAAAAAAAGGAATTTATATAAATGTAGATTTTCATGTATTTCCTGCTGGAGGAGCTCAGAATATTGGTCAAAGGAAGTAAAAAGCCAGATTTGGTGCTGATTTCTGACTGAAAATACTTCAGCATGGATAAAACTAATATAAAACTCTTACTTCAGCGGATTTCAAGGCAAGAAGGAAAAAATCCAAACTCCCACCACCTTCCTACACTGCTTATGTTTTCCTGCTGCTCATCACACTGACATTAGTTCATGTCTTGTGTTTCCTGTTTTGTTTGGTTACTCAACTCTCCTCTTTAATCAGACCTCGTCAATTCTTCCTGCTATTTCCGGATTAGTGTCACCGTCAGTGTTAAACCGGCAGGCGGTTCTTTGTCAGTTCCTCATTGTAGATGAGACCTGTGTGGACGGAGTAACCTGAAGGTTTCCATCAACCTCCTGCTGGTTCACGAGGGGATCCTGACCTCTAACCTCTTAATGCTGGCCACATTTTTTTTTATCCAAGTTGCTTCCAATCAATGGAGTTGTTACTGCAATCAACCCTGTTACACAGAATGTATCAGCGTATTGTCATTTGTACGAGCCTGGTTTCTTTTAATTCTTTTAATTGAAACTCACAGTCACAGAAACAGTTTAACTCACTACATTTCTATTGAGCAGCACCTCAATTAACAAAGTCATGAACAATTTATTTTCCTCTTCCCCCTCAGTCTTGCCTCGCTAACGGGACTAATTAAAGCAAGATGAAGAACTGCAACAGCTTAAAGCAAACTCCCAGAAGATCTAGCCTGGGCCGTAACAAATAACGTTACACTATAATGAAAACATGAGGAAACCTCATCGTTTTTCCATAATGTACTTTGATTTTTGGATAGAAAAGAGAAAAAAAACACATTTTCTGCTGCTAAACTCTGCTGCGTCTCCACTGAATGCATCTCGATGTGTTCTCCACATTGTTTACTTTGAAATAACGTAATGAAAACGCTTCTTTGCAGTGTCACTGTATTTCACTGTGCATTTCTCCTCCCATTCCAGCACGTGGAACTGCTCGGAAGCCAAACATGTCACGATATGTAATAATAATTCAGGGGAAATAAGTCCTTGACCTCTCGTGATGCCAAAGAGTGAAAATAGTCCAGTGAAATCCCCCCCCCCCGGTCTCAGCTGAGCCCTCACACACCTGTGGTTGCCCCGTCACCGTATGATGCTGTACCGGGTTGTGACAAGCAGATGTTAAACCCAACACCAGAGAGCCCGCTGCCTCCCAGGCAGCTTATTTTTACCCGGGGATGTCAAGAGAGCTGAATGGTCGGTTCAAACGGCGGCGCCTTCACTTCTATTTCTGTCACCAACATCACAAGCAGCCGCGGCGCAGATGTAACCCTCTCCTGCTGCCTTGAGCGACAGAATAAGGCTACTACAGGAAACAAGAAACCGGCGTCAAAAACCGCGCCCGTGTGTGTGTGCGTGTGTGTGCGTGTGTGTGTGTGTGTGTGTGGCGGCGGGTTGGTGGGAGACGAGGCCATCTGTCTTTGGCCTATTAGGTTCATCAGAGGAGGGCCTTCACACACGCACGTAGATGTTGTCGGAGAGCTAATTGTGTCTTCACATGCTGCTTTTTTACGGGAGACATTTCACATTTTCATGTTATCTGGGGGGGAGTGAGGGGGGGGGGGCGGTTTGAGTGGCAAAAGGACAGAGGGAAGGACGGAGGGGAGGCTCACGGAGATGACACGGCAGATGGTTTAATGGAGATTATCGCCGTGGGAAGAGGCACCGGGGAGCCAATCGGGGGGGGAGGGGGCGGATCAATCCAGATTCTTCACACTTGAGACTTCGAGAGTGTAAATGTGACACGACCTATTTATATTTGATTGTGTTGATTCTGGGTCTGATTGAGTTTGTGTGTGCATCTGTGCGTAAAGGATCACGCACGTGTGTGCTGTGGGTGAGACCTCTGGGACGTCCTTTTAATCAAAGATAACCTGACAGTGTGTGTGTGGGGGGGGGGGGGGGGGGGGATAACAGTTACAGGCTGAAAGACAAAGATAGAGGCATAATTTAAGACAAAGCAACGCGCGCAGAAGGGAAGAAAATATGGCGGTGAGACAGAAATGCAAATGTAGAGCTGACAGCCCAAAAGAAATACAGTAAAAAAAAATCCCCCCCATCTCACTTTCCTGCTTTCTGTGTCTGTTTCAGTAAAAGTCCAGACGTGATGTTTGGCTCGGCCAGACGGGACAGCACGAGATGCTTCCACTCGTCTGAGGAGCGGCGACAGTGTTATAAGCTACAAAGTGACAGTTATAAGCCGTCGCTTTGTTTCTAAATGACTCGGTGAACGAGCTGCGCCTCACGGTTCTGGTCCACAGTCTGATCAAATCCGAGCTTCTGAAATAGACTTGCGTCCAACATGCAACGTTACAGCAACAGAACCTCTGTTTTAAATGGATGTAGGGGAGGTAGGAACAGACGAGGGGGGAGAGAGAGAGAGAGAAGCATGTTATTATGCTAACATGAGTGCAGCTCGTGTCCTGAGCGTGGAAACCAGGTGTGACCCCTGGAGAAGCACCCTGCCTGACACGGCGATGATTGACTGCTGGGCGGCCGAGGATATGCAAATGTCTTTGACTTTCCCACGGTGCGAGGTTCAAATTCAACTTGGACCAAACTGGAAAATTAGCTTTCGCAGATTGCGAGGCGAGTGCTGGTGGTGGTGGGGGGGGCACATAACAATTGAATTAAATTAGATACAGATGAGAATGAACGTGTAATTTGCACAGTTATACGTATGTAGCAGCCTTGCATTTGCCCATAAATACTACGGATCAACCTGCTCTAATCACATTGTTATATCTACAATTAACAACAATCTACAATATCCTGCTGTCAACCATTAAAGAAAGACCATACACCTGAACCAGGAGCCCTTTCTCCGATATACTTCGGCTCGGGCATTTCAGCTTCAATCGTCCTCAACTGCATTTCCACATCTAAAACTGCCACAAAATTGTCGAATAGTGAATATTTTCTCTACAAAAACATGACATATAATAGACAACCCATCGATACTTTTCCCCCTGACTCAATTGTGATTGATTGAGGCCGCAGCAGAGCGCTGCTCTCCCACAATCGCACAAAGACTAATTAAGATACTCGGCTGATTAGAGAGCGGCGTTATTAGGCCGTTCATTACGTCTGCGCGGGGGGGAGAGCTTTCGCACACCGGCGGCCCGTCTCTGAAATCAAGGAACGACGCCGAAAGGATCCAAGATTAATGGAGCACATTTGATGCCCCTGGAAAACGTCATTAACGAACAAGCCACCTGATCGTCTAAAAGCAACATGGCCGCCGCCTCTTTTCACTTTCACTTTTTTTTTTTTTTTTGTGCGTTGCTGTCCCCACCTTCGGTGTCTCCCAGGATTGAACGGAAAAAGCTGGCAGGCCTCCTTTCACGTCCCGCCGCTCCTCTCGTCTCGCCCGATCTGTCAGCCAGTGTCTCCCGGCCATCACTCCGTCTGACAGACGAACTATCTCTGAGTCGTCAGTCACTCCGCGGCCGTCATCTCCAGCCGGCAGGGACACCCCCCCCCCCCCCCCCGCCCTGCAACACAGCCGTCACGCCGGCGGTGAAGAGAGGCCCCATGTCTCCTGAAATAGGGGGAGCGTGAGAGGAATATTTCCCCCTGTTCGAGGAGGCTCTCTCCTCACATGGTCATTAGCATCGCTATCAGCGCTTGTAAAGTGAGTTTTAATAGTCAGGACGAGGTTTGACCTTGAGGCTGGAGAGCGTATATTTCTGCTTTAATTTGACGTAACACACTGCCACTCGAACTCCAACGGCCCGACCCCCCCTCATCTGGGGCGTGACGTTTTATTTAAAAATACATCCTGTTGGTTAAAAACTTGAGGGCAATATTTATTAAATTAAAGGGCTACAGCACCTTTTCTATTTAGGAGACACGTCCAAAAGAAGAATCTGACATTGTTCCTAAGCAGCAACAGAAGGAAACAAAAAACCCACAAGGGCAAATAAGCTTATTAAAGCGAGATTAGCTGAGCTCTCTTG